GTACTTATTCCGGTTGGTATGGCCTTGTAAAAATACTGATTAGTAGTTTGATGATGAGGGTAACGGAATAATAATATCGGCTAATGAAAAAGAACATCCTGGAATGGATTTTACAACAAGTTGTACATTTATTCTAGGGAGCTTTATGATTGACACAGTCCTACTACATCTGATCATATTATATTTGTCATACTCCAGTTCAAGTAACTACCCAGCTAACAATTTTTTCCGAGGGCTCTGATGTCCGATTTTTTGTCGAGATTTTCTGCCGTTTCTTCAGAAAAGTTTCCGAGTAATCTGCACATACTCGTTTCTTTTGTTTTGTTTGAACAAAACAAAGCTAAAGAGAGAAAAAAAAGCATATACAGAGGGTTAACTCTTTTTTGGCGAGAATTTCTAATGTTACTCCAGAAAAGTTTCCGAGTAATCTGCACATACTCGTTTCTTTTGTTTCATTTGAAAAAAAAAAAAAACACAAAAATTCTGACATTAGCAGAGAGTTAACTTTTTTCTGTTGAGATTTATTTTACCGTTCCTTTCGAAAAGTTTCCGAGTACTCTGCACATACTCGGTTGAAATTATTTGAAGAATTTTGTGTATACAATTTTTTGGTTTTTTGATTATGATCAGTTTGTCGTCAGAAATTGGAGCACGGGTGCATTGTGTTGCAGTGAAAAGTTAAAATGAAAATTAAGGGAAGATTTGGACCTTCAGTACCTTATGGTAAGTAAGCACCTTTCTACAAATACTACTTTTATCAATATCTTGAATTGTTTAGGACATCTATTTTATTAGGCTCGTTAAAGGTTTGTATCCTTGTGTTTTAAACTCTTTGATAATATAAATAATATTTTTTTCATTTTTATTATTTAGATGCGGCATTGGAACATATTCCGGGAACTATGGGAAGTGCCATATAAACCCATATAAAACATTTCTTCAACTCGGCTGAAGATAGGCTTAACAAACCTTAAGCTGGGCCGAATAAGCCAGCCGTTGACTTGAGCCAGCCAAATATACGCTTTATATATTTCCACCCTTAATTATATTGATTTACATTGAATTGCAACTTTTTATGCTTTTTTTAATTTTTAATTTCCGTATTCCTTATATTTTACAAAAAAACTGAATATGTACAAATGTTCTGTCATTAAATTGAAAAATATAAACATAAACTATTATCTAAAAACTAGATAAAGTTTTATTATTTCGGTTTTTCGATTACAACTATAGAATAAATTCAGATTTTTTTCCGAATTTCGAATCAAACATCCGAAAATTTTCAGAATCTCCGATCAAACATCCGATATGTTTCCGAATATCGCATCGAACATCCTATATTTCTCCGATTTTCCGATAAAACTATAGAACAAATTCAGATTTTTTTTCGAATTTCGTATCAAACATCCGAAAATTTTCCGAATTTCCTATCAAACATCCTATATCTCTCCGAATTTTCCTTTTTTCTTTGCCGAATTCTATACGAATTCGCCCCGAAACTCTTACGTTCTTTCAGATTTTTTTCCGCAAAATCTTTCAGAATCTTGGGCAATCTCACACAATTTTCTTCCGATTTCTTTCCGAATTCGACATTAGAGTCGGAAACTTGTGCAGAGTTTTTTTCCGAATTCGGAAGAAAATCGGAAAAAAATGTTTGCTGGGTAATTATTTAAACACTCCGAAAATAAGCTTAAACAATATTGTGAAATATAATTCCCATATGTGACCAAAAGATATGTTTTACTTATGGATATACTACAGAGTGAGATAAAAAACTGCATGTCCGTCCGTCCGTCTGTCCATGTATTTTTGTAAACAAAGTACAGTTCGCATTTATTGCCCTATCCAGATGAAATTTTGCACAAACAATTTGTTTGGCCCAAGGATGAACCCTATTGAAATCGGAGATAATCGGTCAAAATTTAAATATAGCTCCCATATATATCTTCGTCCGATTTGTCTTTTATTGTGCACCAAACGTGTAATATCAGTACGATCAGATTGGACCTGGAAATAAGTATGCCAAATTTGATCGAAATCGGTTCAGATATAGCTATGGCTCCCATATATATTGTTAATCCGATTTGTTATTTTTGTCCTCCGCAGCCGTAATATGCACTCTGTAACAACAATACTTGGGGAAATATATCAAATACAGCTCAGAAATACATTTGCTAAAGTTTTTCGAGATCGGATCAGATTTGGATATAGCTCCCATATATAAATTCGTCCGATTTAACTTTGATTGTGCACCAAACGTCTAATATTTGCCCAAATTGGATGAAATTTGGAAAGCTATTATGTCAAATTTGGTGAAGATCGGTTCAGATATAGCTATACCTCCCAAATATACTGTTCATCCGATTTGTCATATTTGTTACCCACAGCCGTAACATGCACTCCGTAACAACGATATTCAGGGAAATATATCAAATACAGCTCAGAAATATCTTAGCCAAATTTCCGATTTGGATATAGCTCCCATATAATACAAGTCCGAATTTAAAAGATACAAATGCTTCGGCATATTTAGTCCTTTGAACTTTAAATTATAATTATAATCATAGCGGGTATGATTGAATTCTCCCATAAAAACTTTTAATTATTATGCACAGCTCTACTAAATTAGAAAAGTTGTGTAGGGTATCATAAAGTCGGCCCCGTCCGACTTTAAGACTTTCTTTAATGGTTTAAAATTTATTGAATGAAAGCAAAAAATGTCTGAAATAGCATAAATTTTAGAATAAGTTTAGATTTCTTTAAATTGGTCACCTTTGCCACCAATACAACCAATGAAACGTCAGATAATCGGTCAAAATTTAGATATAGCTCCCATATATATCTTCGTCCGATTTGCCTTTTAATATCAGTCCGAATAGTATGGAATTTTGCACGTACGATCAGATTGGACCTGAAAATAAGTATGCCAAATTTGATCGAAATATTACGGCTGTGGGTAACATACAAATACACGATGTGTATTTTCGATTCCAATGAAATTTGTAATGTGTGACGTGATTTGATCAGAAAATAAATTGGTCAAATTATAGTGAAATCGAGTTAGGTTTGGATATAGCTCCCATATATATTTTTGGCCGATTCCACATATTTAATGCACCAAACACAATACGTATGTCCGATTCCAATAAAAATCGGCATGAGTGACTAAATTTGTTACAAAAATAAATTGGTACAAATAAAAATAAATCTAAATTATATTGGAATCGGTTGAGGGTTTTGCATATTTCCCATATATATATTTCGGCCCATCTAATGTATGTTATGTATCAAACACGATATGTATGTCCGATTCCAATGAAATTCAGAATGTGTTACAAAAATAAATTTGTCAAATTAATTAGAAATCGGTTAAGATTTGGATATATTCTTGGCCGATTTCACATAATTGATGCACTAAACACGTTAAACACCTCGAATTTAAATAAAATATGGAAGTTGGACGGAATTTGGTGTAAAAGTAAATTTTGTCAAATTATATTGAAATCGGTTCAGATTGGGATATGATTTTATTAAGAAACATTGACCCACAACGCCTTTGCAATTGTATAAGGTTAACAGTAAAAAACTACTACTAAATAAGTTTTTTATATGGAGGGTATATTAAGTTTGTCATTCCGTTTGTAACACCTCGAAATACACATTTTAGACCCCACAAAATATATATATTCTTGATCAGCATAAAATTCTATGTCGATTTAGCGATGTCCGCCCGTCTTTGGAAATTACTCTAGCTTCCCAACGAATTGAAAATTTTTGCTCAAATGTATGTTATGTCTGCATGACTTTTGGTATTGAAAATGGGTCATGTAGGTCCACGTTTTGGTATAGCCCCACATAACGGTACCTCCCGATATTCGGTATTTTGAAAATTTTAGCGACATTATTCATCGGAATTTTTTCAAATTTGGTATTTTAAGTTCGTAATGGATACTACAGCCTATGACAGAAAATTGTCTGTGCAGGTCCACGTCTTCATATAGCCCCCACATAACGGTACCTCCCGATATTCGATATTTTCATTTTATCGACAGTATAACCGATTTTTTTTAGGTTTCGCATTTGAATATTGTAATGACAAATGTTACCTACGCAAGTTCATGTCGTCGTATAGACCCTAATATAATGGCTACATTCGGTATTTTTAAGATTTTAACAGAATTTTTAACGGATTTTATTGTTTTTGAGAAGTGCCATATTCGTTCCAAATGGTGGAGGGTATTCAAAGTTCGACCCGGCCGAACTTACAGCGTTTTTTACTTGTTTTATAATATTGAATTTGTTTTATTTAACAATACGCTAATTATTTTGGTCGAAAATTGTAATCCGAAGCGAAAGGGCATGTTTGGAAGACAAAATCTGAATCGTATCTAAACGACAGGACTTCATTTTAAAACACATTCCAGAGGAAAATATTTATTTATTTATTTTTTTTTTTTTGTAAATTTTTTTCTTCATTTTGCAAGATAATATCTGAAAGTAACATAAAATTTCGTTTTAGGCAGGTGTCAAAAGAAGAAATTTTCTACAAAAATTTTACTGTAAATGTAAGAATAAACCATATATAGGTAAAATAGTTTTCTTCGATTTGATTTTTGGACACCCTAATGTTGTCATCAAATTTAATGATGATGAGCCTCTGCAACTGAGACTAAACTTCCAACAAGAGAGATATCATACAAAGAAAAAGTCATTAATGAAGTTGGCTGTGCTGTTGTGTTGTTTGTTGTAATTCCGTGTACACATTTGTATAGATAAAGAACGAACGACAATGCCAGCGCAGCTCCGCAGTCGCAACCAAAACGAAACGGAGAAAAAATAACATAATTGAGTAGCCCACTTCGTCATTAAGGGTTCGAAAGCTAAATGTCATTAGAGGAAGAGAGAAAGCCATATTGCAACCAACAAGATAATGATGTAGAGAGCGAACAAACTAGGTTCGTAGCCAGCAATCTGGCTACTGAACATTTTTACGGAACGAAAGGAATTCAGTCAGTTTAGTTTGATTGTTTGATTGGAGAGCTTGGTTTTTCGGCAACAGTAGTACTGTAATGTAAACACAACAAATCTCGCTCAATAGAAAACAGCAAAAGAAATTAAAACAACAAAAATAAACATATGTGTGAGAGAGTGTACAAACATAGCCAACAACAACATCAGCATTTGTGAAAGAAGAAATTCTACAACAACAACAACGGCAATTGCATACTGTGTTAGTTGCTAATTACATCATTTATATAATTTTCATTAAATCTATAACAAAAACAAAACGATAATCTGAAAACTAATTTCATAATCATAAAAGTCAACGGCTAAATGTCGCCGCCGCCACCATTGTGTGAGTGTATTTATTTTTATTTCGTACACAACGAGTGAGGATGATTCCCATCATTGTCTGCTGCTGATGATGATGACGGCCGGGAATGTGAAACGTTGAAATTAAAAGAAAAAAATCTATACGGTTCAAATACGGAAAATAAAAATGCATTGAAAACTTCTTATACATACACTTTACAAATAGGGTGTCTTCTTTCCACCAACCAGCCAAGTAACACACCACGTCGTCGTCGCTTCTTCATTTCTTTGTACGTCGTTGATGCACCCAAGCAAGCATTGTTGGTAGTTGTAGTAGTTGTGTATCATCATCAATCCCAGGCTGTGTTTTTAGTTTGCTGACTGGCAAGTGTATACGCGTCGTCCGCCCGCTTTAAAACGAGAAAAACGCCGTGTACGACGTACTACATGAATCGTCTTCTCTAGCTATAGCTGCTGTCTGCTAGGTGCTTCTTCATATAGTGTGTTGTAGTTATTGTTGTGGTCGTTGTTCTGTATTCCAAGCGAGTATACCTACAGAAGAAACATACATCCATAATTTTGGACGGAAAGTTTTTCATTAAAGATTCTTGGCTCTAACTGCTGTATTGGACTTGAAAATCACATCGAATTTCATCAAAAAATCCGGGTCTAGCCGCTTATTTGTTGTGTTGTTCTCCTAAAGGCGCGCTGTTGCCGGTTGTTTTGCTGCTTAATGTACAATAAAATCATTACATTTTAATGATCATTTGAACGAAAAATCTATAATTATCGCAAAACCATTTAAGTCATTATTGTGTGTGTGCTCGGCTGAAATACAATGAAACGAAGAAGAAGAAGCAGTCAATACACCAACAAACAGCGTTGGTATTCTCTGCATGTGTGCGTTTCACTTGGCAAGAGAATGAATACATACTAAATGATTATATTCATTGTCTCTCCCTCTCTTCGTCGTACACTTGATGCGCGCTCTCATTGACTCGACTCCGTTAAATGGAATTCGAATTCACAATTTTATGGCTTTCTAACAGAAAAATATTTAAAAAACTTATATTTGTATCATTCTGTCGAAAATACAGTTGTCCTTAATTAATTGCCAATTTTTTGCCAAACAGTTTGGCTATTGTTTATTCATCCATTCATTAATTCATCATGATGTTATCGTTATTTTGTTTTGCGTGCACGGCGACGACTCTCTTTCGTGTCACTTTTTTGTTCGATAATTACATTGTCAATCAACTTGTTGTATTCTTCGTTAATTTCTATATTGTGAAAAATAACCATCATCATCATTATCGGAAGATCATTATGAAAAAAAATTATTTTTTGCTTCTTCTTTCCATCCAAACAATCGTTTTGTTTTTGTTGAGAACTGATGAAGGCACCGAGTAATAATAATTTGATTTTAATGATAATTTACGTAGTTTTTTCGAGTTTTGTTTTGATCACCAAATTTCATTGTAGTCATTAATCGTGTAGTTAAGTCTAAATAATTTCCGGTAAACAGAATTTTTGTCATTAATGAATGAAATTAAGGACTTGTGTTGATAATGTATTTGTTTTAAAACTCATGGCATATGACTTCAACTAAAACTGTATCTGCTTTTTAAATCGTCGAAATAATATATCTACACTTTTTAAGGCATAATTTGCAATATAGGGCAAAATTCGCTGGCTCAGTTTCTAAAAACGACCATGTGAAGCAGCTCCAAGCACCTTTTCCAACGGCTATCAAAACATTTCAGTTGTAATTCGTAATATTTCATTAACACATGAATTTCAACTGTAATTTTAAATATTATAATTGTAATTGGAGAAATAATTTTTTCAATTGTTATATTTAGCTATAAAACAATATTGTTCTTCTATCTTGGATTCAATTTTGTGGAAATATCAATATTCCATTCATGTTATGAGAATTTGTAAATTAATGTAAAAATGTTGTGGTATTTTTATCCCTAGTTTCTTTAAAATTCAACTGTTTTTTTTTTTTTGCCTAGAAAGCACGTGAACGAGTAACTGTTTAAAATATAATTAATATGTGACAATCCCTAGATATATATTAGGTCAACCAAAATCTGCCGATCATACTACTTGCTTCAAGTGGTTTTGGCTAAGTTCTTTTAAACTTGGTTACAAGTTTAATTACATTGGATTCGACTTAGGGAAATAGTTCTCCAGTAAAAACTTGCAAAAGTGTATATTCTAGCAATGAAAGAAGACTTACATAAGATTCAAAGTATTATAGCATTATTCTCATTATGAAGCGTAAAGAAGTCTCACCATTTTTTATTATTTCTTATTTTCGATTCAACTTGTTTCATTTGTTCACATTATATGATAACTTCAGCGTTTTTAGAACAAATTTTTAGGAAATGTATTACGTTATAACATCAACTTAATAGTCTGTATCGGATAAAATACATCGGCTCGTAGTACCCATGCTTTATGAGATATGTTAAGTGATAAGAATAATTCATCATATATCACTACAAAAAAAGGTCCCATAATTTTATCGTTTTGTTTTTCATACATTTTGCGTATTCCAATCAGTAGTATTATTATCTAACTCATTTTTTGAGTTGCCGACGATAATCCGTAACACGATAACGTAAATTTATGAATTAAAATACTTAAATTAAAGTTGATGGTAGTTTATTTTAGTATCTAACTTACCTATATAAGCATTTTATAAGCATTTAAATATTACCTATTAAGTCAAAAAATGGGTTAGAAAATAGCACAACATAATCCAAAATACATAATGTTAATAACTTATTATAGTTTGTATTATGGATGGATTTAGAACTAATTTTTTCACATATATTACAGGAAAATGAACAACATTTAATTTTACCCGATTGCGTTTTGTAATACCAAATCTATGTATTACAACGGAAGTGATATAGGACGTCTTCAGAGAGTTGCGTTGACCATTGTGATACCCATGTGAAATGCCTGTAAGTTAATGCTACTGTCTATTTTTTTTAACAAATAAAAAACTGTAATAACTTATTTTGCTTGCAGTATGAAAAATTCAATAAAAAGCGTAGACAATGGGAGGATAATGGTGTACTGGAGCTAATCAAACTATGGAAAGTCTGCGCTTATGAACTACGCACAGTTAAACGCAATGGCCATCTTTATGTGGCTATGGCAAAACAATTAACCGGTCTTGGAGTACCCGTAACAGCATTAGAAGTCCACTTCAAAGTGAATAACTTAACACAGCGCTATCGTCAGGAACAGAAAACATTTGAAGCGACCGGTATAATAAGTACATGGAAATTCTTTAACCAAGTGGATGATGTTTTTAAGAGTTTGGGACAAACCGGCTATACAAAGTGCGTTAAAGTGTGGGTTTGTTGTAAATATATTGCAACAACATATATACTAATCTACTTTATTACTTTTGTTTTTTATTCCATTACCAATGCAGAGATAAACGTATTATGACACCAGCATCGAATGCTAGCAGTTTACCTTCTTCATCCGAGTCACCAGTTTGGAAGAATCAAATGTCTCAACAGGAGTTTAACAGTAATAATTCCGAAGGTTTTTACAAGTAAGTATAGCTATGGAATTTTAAGAATCGCAATAAAATTCATATGTAAATTGATAAACTATTCCTTATTACATTTTTTAGATCGGAATATGGAATGCATCGACATTTTATTGATCATTCGCAGGCTCAGGCAAATGGGGGTGCCGGTGGAGGCGCCGGTAATGCAGATGTCAACTTTATGGCCAATACAGCTGCAGCTGCAGTTGCAGCAGCCTCGAGACTTAATGAATCAAATCAAATGGATCAGTTAAATGCAGCCGCTTCGGCGGCGGCTTCAGCTAATAATGCAACAAACGGCAGTGTCCTTAATTATAACAAAATCAAAAAGTCACCGGATGACTATGATAAGTTTGTTGACATTGTCAAAAATATTGTTGATTCTCATAAGTCTACACCGGATAAGGTCGATACATTTGCCGATTTTATTAAATCCTACATACGTCGTTGGCCGGAGCGAATTCAGGATGAGGCCATCACTCACATCACAAACTACATAATTGTTAAGAACATGGATCATACTATGCACTCATCTATTGATGGCGTTAATAATCGACAATAATATAAGAGTGAACCTAGAAACTAGGTTCACATACATCAGAATAAACAACGGCCACACTGCAACAAAAAGAACAGCAGCAACATCAACCACAACACTTACAACATTTACAACTAAACTAACAACTAATAAATGTTACTTAAACTAAGTTATAATTTTAGTTATTCCTTTAGACATCAACATATTCTTTGGTTAGTTAGGTTTTATATTGTTCGAATAAGTTTTTCGTTGGTTTAAGTTTTGAGTAGAGTGTTTGTTGTAAGTATATATTAAAATCTTAAAAAAAACAAATGCTTAGTACATAATTTTATTTACTGCTTAAAGCTAAAAAACTATTTTAATGTATTTTTCTAATAATTTTTAAAACTTTTATTTTTTATTTATTAAGATTAGATGTTGCAACTTAATATAGAAGCTTGTATTTAATTTAGAACATAAAATGAGTAAATAGAAAAACAAATCAAATTACTTATATGCAAAACAGAAAGTATATAAATAATTTTTTCTATTGATGTAAACATGTTTCCTTACAAGAAAAACATTAAAAATCAGTAAAATAATATCAACAAATTTGAGTTTAATTTAAAATCTTAAAAATGTTGACAACTATAGAAGCATCTACTTGTATCTTTCACTAAGATTGTAGCATAAAGGCGGTTATGTGCGTCGCCTTTCGGAGATTCTAACATTTTTAGTTCATTGGTAAGGCTGGAGGTATGTGTTTGTCTTAATAGTAAAGAAAAAGCGGCGCATACTGCTGCCAGATACCGAAAAAAATATTTTTTCCTTCCTTGATCTGTTCCACGTTGACGTGTTATAATAGTTTTATTTTCATTACCTTGCATTACAGGAAATAAGGACATGTGGTTACCAGATTTTTGCTGGGTTTGTTATGGGAACAAAAAGTCAAAAATGGCTTTATTTTTAACCATTTCTATAAAAATAAAGACACGCGACTTGAGGTATGATGAAGAGTACTCCTTCTTGGTAAGGCTAGTAAGCTTATAAGTGTGCTTAATATATTCTGTCAATGTATTCTTCTGGTTATTATTACCTATATGGTCCCTACATGTCCAGCCTTTCAGTAACTACATATCCACTCTTTTACTAATACTCTGTTCCAAAACCTGCAAAAATATACTAGTTGTTCAATTTATTTTCGATATCATAAAGGAAAAACGGTTATCGTAGCATTAATTTCACATTCTTGCAGGATCTAGAATAGAGCATATGTGTACAATTTTCGATATCATAAAGGTAATATGTACCAGAACCATGATATAACAATACAGGGAACAAGGACATGTGATTACCAGATTTTTGCTGGGTTTGTTATGGAAACAAAACGTGAAAAATGGTTTTATTTTTAACAATTTCTACAAAAATAAAGACACGTGATTGGAGGTATGATAAAGAGTACTCCTTCTTGGTAATGCTAGTAAGCTTATTAGAGTGCTTAATATATTCTGCCAATGTATTCTTCTGGTTATTATTACCTATATGGTCCCTACATGTCCAGCCTTTCAGTAACTACATATCCATTGTTTTACTATTACTCTGATCCAAAAGCTGCAAAAATATAGTAGTTGTTTAATTTATTTTCGATATCATAAAGGAAAAACGGTTATCGTAGCATTAATTTCACATTCTTGCAGGATCTGGAATGGAGCATATGTGTACTATCTCCGATATCATAAATGAATGAAAAATGATTGAAATTTGTTAAAATTTTTGCAACAATGAACTATTGAATAAATTTTGGAATTCAAATTTTTGAATGAAAATTTATACGAATTTCTTAAAATACATATCGTTAAAACTTCCGCAAGCTGTCGTATAAGAACATACTTAAAATTCAACTTAATTTTGGACAAACTTTTTTTAAATTTTTGACATAAATGGTACCAAGTGCTGATGCTTCTACCCATGGTACAATAAGGAAGTAGAACAGCTTCGTAAAACTACAGAAATACAGCCCTGAGGATATGCCCGGTCAGCTGGTAGCTCTACCTTACCTTTTTATTGTACCATGCTTCTACCTATGGCCAGTAGTGGGATTCACTAAACCTTTTGCCGTTACCGACAATAATCGGTAACTTTCAAACAAAAATGTTCATGCAAAAAATAAATGTTAGGTTAACCATACTGTTTTTATACGACGTTGGTCGCTAACTTATCGGAAAATTTCGTTAGTTACAGAAAATATAACCATTTGGAAAACATTTACCCTATTCCAGAACTGCAAGAATGTAAAAGTTTTTACTAAGATAACTACTTTTTCTTTTATGATATCGAAAAAAATTGCGAAACATGTACATTAGTGGAGGTTTTGGAACATAGCAATTGCATATCTATTTAACTCTCGCAGGTTCTGGAACAAAGCATATATTTCTTTTGTTTTTAGTACCTTTCCTAAATATTGTATCGATACTATCGATTTTGATATCGATTGTTTGCCGTCTCTACGATACACTACCCAAATAATAAATACAATGGTCGTCACCAATTATGATGGTAAATATATATTTAATATATTTGCACTACCCAAAACAATTTCATTTGTAAATTTTTCTTCTTAGCCTTGCGAAAACAAGCAAGATTACTGGAAAATGAAATCGACCTCAAGTTGGTGGCTTTCAGCAAGATAGGCTCGAGTTCGGGTTCAACAATGGGTCATAGTTCGAATGCTACAGACACTGCACCATTATTAGGAGAACATGTATTTGACTCATTGTCAGAAGAAATTGCCCAGATGTTAGATAAGGTAATGTTGGTTTTGTTTTGTAAGATATATTCGTTGTGTGGATGCAATTTAACACTACCTGTCTCTACAGCTATCCTCTATTAATGAGTCAATGACTGAACTTCCAACGTCGGGTGCTGCAATGATGCACACGCTACAACGTCATCGTGAAATATTGCAAGGGTATCGCCAGGAATTTAATAAAATTAGCGCCAACCATACAATGCGGTTAGAACGTGAAGAGCTGTTGAGAGGCTCTGGTCTATCGACAAACAGTCCTTCAATATCCGGTCTCAGTAGGCGAGATATGTATTTAAAAGAGAGCTCGCATATTAATAGGTGAGTTTGCACATATGAGGAAGTGCCATGGAGGAGATAAAAAAATACTAAGAAAGCCACACATCTCTTGATTCAAAACAAAGACATTTGTTGGAACTTCACAAGATAATTGCTAATTAAATAATAGTTATAGGCAATAATAACAATTGTTAGTTTGAGTAGTGCCATGAAGGAGATAAAAAATCATCTCTTGATTTGAAACAAAGACATTTTTTGGAACTTCACAAAATAATTGTTAATTAATTAATTGTTGTAAAAACACAACCCTTATGTTTGCGAAATATGTATTAGCATTTTGCAAAGCAGTTATAAATTATTAACTAATTTACTGAATGAAATGTCCGGTGTAACAAAATTTGTGTAAATTCTATTTTGTATTAATTAGCTTTAATATTTTCTATTTATCCTCAAAGCTTCAACTGTTTTTCTTTCCAGTTCCAATACATTGATAAATGATCAAATTAACATTGCTATTGAAACTAGGGAGCACTTGTTATCGCAACGGCAAGCTTTCAAACGTTTCCAGACACGTTTAAATGATATTTCAAATCGGTTCCCATTAATTTCCAGGTAATATCCCTTTACATCAGCCATTGAATTAAGAATTTAACATTTTTTTCTTATTTTTTCAGTTTAATACAACGTATAAATATCAAAAAGAAACGTGACGCATTAATATTGGGAGCTGTAATTGGGTTTTGTGTAATTTTACTAATAATATATGCTTTCAATTAGCTATATATATGTTTTATTTCAAAACCAAAATTATGTAAAGTATGTTAAAAACAGACTAAATTGTAACATTTAAGTAAAAAATTTAATTTAAAAACCCTCACATAACACCCAAAAACCATATAATGACAAAACATTGAAAAATAATATCTTTGTTTACGAATAACGATGTATTTTGTGATAAAAATCAATAAATTTAGATATGTTAAAGTAAAGATTTCGATATAGGTTTTACTTAATTAAATTTTAAGAAAGTGGCGATTTGTAGGGGATAATTCCTATAGAATTTGATTTTCCTCTGGTATTTGTTTGGCTGGGTAATTAAAGAGGTAACGAATACGTTAGGGATTCTGTACGCATGTATCGCGGTATGCTATATATTTAGGTAATTGACTTATTTAAACTGTAAACAATGAGTCCAATTATTTTCTAGGTCATTGTACTTGTGTGTTATGACTACAGATTTTTAATAAATCACGCAATTTTGATGTAAATTTCACCGATTGTAAATTTTTATTATACATAAGCATAGCTTAACTTTATTTTCTAGTAAACAGAATACGAAAACGGACTGTACAGGGTGAAATAAAAATAATGCATCAAAGCGTTTGCTTGAGGTGATCGACACTTTGGTATATTTGGTGTGCTTTCCATAATACTCCAGACACAATAGTCCATCGGATTGGACGCCACCAACCATTCGTGGGTGGCGCCTGCTGAGTTTGTTTGTATCAGCAGAAACATGTTTGACAAGTGTCTCTCCAGCAGAATTTAAAAATACAAAAATATGTTCAAAATGTCAAATTGTAAAATTAATGATATAATAAATCTTTGGGAGAAAAATAATAATTTCTTCTATTCATAGTAGTGAGAATTTCATGTATTTTCCTATAAAAGTCCATTAAAATCATTAAACAAAATTTTTGAAAAAGGGATTTTTTACTGCGAATTACGATTCGAGCCGTATAAACGGGTTAATTCGTGAGCGAACAAGGTGATTGAAAGTGCAATAAGAACATAGCTTTAATATTGTTAATGCGATAACCGATTTTCCCTTTATGATATTGAACAAAGCTTCGGGAACAAAGTAATAATTTCATAAAATCGATTTTAGAATAATTTGAACTAGTTCACTAGTACCTTTTATTGAACATTTCAATTGAATTATTTCGTTCACCTACGACCAATTATTTAATTTTATTTTTTATCAAATAAATTCGGTAAAAATATTACTGGATACTAATTACATGATGAATTTCGGTCCTCCCCCGCCACGTGATGCAAACACAAAACCACAATTTTTTGAGAATCCTGACTTGGATTCGTTGTCTAAACATTTTATAGGCAACATGCAAAGGTATTTTCGATGAATGAATTTGGGTTATAATTTGAAGTGAATTGGAAAAATAACCCACTGATTTTTTTCTTCCAGATACCGGGAACATGTTGTTATACCAAAAAGTAATGGTCCCGTTCAAATAAAAACCAATGAAGAACAAATGATTGAAAGAGCTGTGGAAAGTTGTACCTTCAAATCTATAACGTCTTGTGTAATGGGTAAACGATGTCTATTCGAAAAAAATAAAAACAATGTTATTAATGTTCTTTTCGAACTACAGGTTATGGTCTGGGAGCTGCAATAGGTCTATTTACGGCTTCGGTTAATCCAAATATGATGGATCCCATGGCCAATGAACGCAAACAAACCGCTCGCGAAATATTCCGGGAAATGCGTGCAACCACACACTCATATGCCAAAAATTTTGCATTAATTGGTTGTGTCTTCTCGGCCGTAGAGTGTGCCATTGAAAGTGTAAGTTTTACCACAGCGAGTTTAGCCATTCAATCACCCAGACTAAAAATAATAATTTTGTTGATATTTTAGCAACGAGGTGTTACAGATTGGCGTAATGGAACTTATGCTGGTGCTGTTACAGGAGGTTTGATTGGTCTTAGAGCCGGTGTAAAGGCTGGTATAATTGGAGCTGCTGGTTTTGCGGCATTCTCAACGGTCATCGATTACTATATGCGCAGTAGATAAAAATCGTATTTATTAGGTATTTAGTATATGATATTGTCTAAGAGTTTTGTTAAAGCTAAGTATTGACATTTTTTGTTAAAATATTAATTTAAACTGTTGTTTCATATGCAATTTGAGCAAAAGTCGGGACTCGGATTTTTAATATTTTTCAGGTGTAATTTTTATTTATTTATTCGCTAGCTGACCGGGACCGCGTTGTTAGCACATAGGTCTAGAGTTTAATGCATATTTTTGAGGAACGCAACCACCTTATATATGTTGTAACCTTTTAACAGAAAAAAAGAAAAAGGTTGAACTTTGCAAATTGGCGGTTTTCATGGTTTAAGATCATTGATGTAGTTTTTATATAGATAACAAGTTAAAAAGCAGTAAGTTCTGCCGGTCCGAACTTTGAATACCCTCCACCATTTGGAACAAATTTAGAAATTTTCCAAAAAATACAAAATCCTTAAAAAATTCTGTTAAAATTATGTAGCTAAAATCATCAAAATATCGTATATAGGGAGGTAGCTTTATATCGGAGCTGTGCGAAGACCTGGACCAGCATAGACAATATACTACCTAAACTGGTCAAAATACCGAATATAGGGAGGTACTGGTATATGGGTCCTATTGTTGGAGTAATTTATTTATATTGTTCACTGTATTTATAATACCGTGTTACATTGAATGCAAAACATGTCAAGTAGGCTTTGTAAAATATTATTCATGTATACATATTTTTGTCAATAAAATATTATTTTTATTATTAAAAAAACTTCCAACTGCAAACAAGGTCTTCAAATTTTCTTAACAGGTTATGGGCCCAGACACACATAAATAAAAGGAAGAATATTATTTGAAGGAAATCCCAAGGATTCAAGAAGCTTAGAATTATGGAGGACATCAAAATATCCAAGCTGAATGGAGTTGAAAGTTGGACGCTGTGGAAGTTCCAAATAAGAGTAATTTTACGTGCCAGCGATTTATGGGGCATTGTGGATGGAACTATCCGGAAGCCTTCCGAGACTTCGACGAATGAATTGAAGTTGTGGAAGGCAAATGATGCGAAGGCGCAGAAGATAATTGTTGTTGCTATTGAAGAAGAACCGCTGATGCATATTATCAATTGCGAAACAGCTGCTGATATGTGGTCAGTCTTGGAGAGCATTTATGAACAAAAGTCGGCAACATCAATTCATCTACTGCAGCAGCAATTCTTTCAATACACAAAGGATCCTGGAGACAGTATATCGGTGCATATATCAAAATTGCAGAAGATAGCAAAACAATTGTGCGATTTAGGTGAACAGATAACAGACAACATGCTCATAACTAAGATTTTGATGACTCTTCCGGATGAGTATCGTCACTTCTTTTCATCGTGGGAAGCAACGGAGAAGAAAGAGCGGACTTTAAAGAATTTGTCAAGTCGTCTCTGTATGGAGGAATGCAGATTGGGTATCAAGCCAGATAAATCAGAAGCGTTTGTTGCAAAACATGGTAAGAAATCTCAAAATAAATACAATAGACAGAAGGATAGCAAGAAAGAAAACTGTTTCCATTGTGGCAAGTCTGGTCACTGGAAAAGGGATTGTCCGGAAAGGAAAAATATCAAGAAGAAGCACAATGAAGGTACAGCTTTTATGAATGAAATTATGGTCGTGACTGCAGATGAAAACGAAAAGTGGTACGTGGACTCAGGAGCAAGTGACCATATGAGCAAAAATTTGTCGTGGTTTCAAAACTATGTAAAATTCCAATCACCAAAGAATATTCGAATCGGTAATGGTGCAGTAATTCCGGCATATGGTAAAGGTGACATTTTGATTGAAGCATTTGATGGTAAGGTTTGGAATCCAAAACAGATACTTGGCGTTTTATATGTTCCAGATATAAAACTCAATTTGTTTTCGTCAAATACATGTCTTGATAAAGGATATACCATGAAAGCAGAGGGAAATGAATGTGTGTTCGCATATAATGGAAATGTGGTATTGAAAGGAATACGAAAACAGTCCAAACTTTTCGACTTGATGATAAGGGTGAAAGTTCCAACTATTGCTGAAGCCAATACTGGGGAACAGGTGAATAGTTTACGCATTTGGCATGAAAGGTTGTGTCACCAAGGAAAAGAACATGTAAAGGACGTATTGAAAAGGAATAACATTGAATGTACTGGAGAAGATTTCTTTTGTGAAGGTTGTATGATGGGCAAGCAGCAAAGAAAACCATTTAAAGAAAGTCAAAATAGAGCTTGTCAACCTGGTGATCTCATTCATACAGATCTTTGCGGTCCCATGCAAGAATTGTCTTTGGGAGGATCCCGGTATATGTTACTATTCAGAGATGATTATTCGAATTATCGTCACGTATACTGCATTAAAGAGAAATCTGAAGTTCCGATGGTCATGAAAAAGTACTTGGATCAAGTGGAAGCAGAAACTGGAAAAAGGGTTCGCATTATTCGTTCTGACAATGGGTCTGAATTCGTTAACAAGCAGGTATGTGAAATATTGAGTTCCTATAAAGTAATACATCAAAGAACAACCCCATATACTCCGGAACAAAACGGTCGAGCTGAAAGGGATATGAGAACTATTGTCGAAGCTGGAAGATCAATGGTCCACAGTAAAGGACTTTCATTGAAATATTGGGGTGAGGCCGTGAACAACGTTGTGTATACGCTAAATAGGACTGGCAGATGTCCCAATAAAGACAAAGTTCCCTATGAATTGTGGTTTGACAGTACTCCTGATATTAGCGCCTTACACATATTCGGCTCAACTGCTTATGTACACGTTCCAAAGGAAAAGCGACGGAAGTGGAATGCAAAATCTAAAAAAGGAATTTTCGTGGGTTATGAAGAGCATTGCAAAGGGTATCGCATATGGATACCAGACGAAAAACGAATTATGATATCTCGGGATGTTTTCATAAAGGAAGAAGACTCACATTGTACACCGAATAATGAGCAGAATAAAGAAAATTATGCGCAAATAAGATTTATTGAAAACCATGAACACAGTGAGGATTCAGTTTCTGAAATAAATAGTGAAGAAATTTCTGAAGAAGGTAATCGGTCAACTCGGCCAGATGTTAGTGAGTCTGTACAAGATGTTCCAGAAGTGTCAACCCAACCATCCGCAACAAACAAGAAAAGACATTCGTATAATCTTCGTTCGAAAGTATTTGATGATATTGATGAAATGTTTTACGCATTCATAGATGAAGCCGATGAGCCTAATTCCTTTGAAGATGCTGTTTCATGTGAGTATAGTAAGCAGTGGAAGCAAGCTATGGATGAAGAGTACAAGTCTTTGATTAAAAATGGAACTTGGGAGCTAGTAGATTTGCCAAAAGGAAAAAGTATTATATCTAATAAATGGGTGTATAAAATAAAGAAGAACAAGGATGATGCTATTGAACGGTTCAAAGCACGATTAGTTGTTCGTGGATTTACACAAAAATTTGGACAAGATTACGAGGAAACATTTAGTCCAGTGGCTAAGTTCACGTCAATTAGAATGATTTTGGCTTTGTCAAGTTTGAATAACTACCATCTGACACAATTTGATATAAAGACGGCTTTTTTATACGGCACACTTGAAGAAGATATATACATGCAGCAGCCAGTAGGATACGAAGATGGTTCTGGTAAAGTATGCAAGCTGCTAAAGGGGTTATATGGTCTCAAACAAGCCTCGAGATGCTGGAATAAACGATTCAAAGAAATGCTAATAAAATTCAACTTTAAAGCTAGCAGTGCTGATGGGTGTGTATTCAAAGGAGAAATAAACAATAAACTAATTATTTTAGCAATTTATATTGACGATGGTATAATAGCTGCAGAATCGAAAGAAATTGCGGATATATTCCTTGGCTATCTACAAAGTGAATTTGAAGTAAAGAGAATTGATTCTTTATACTATTTGGGAATAGAAATAAATCAAGAGAATAACAAAATTTATATATCACAGTCATCGTATACAAAGAAGTTATTACGAAAGTTTAACATGGAAAATTCAAAACCAGTGAGTACACCAATAGAAGACACTTTTATTCCAGGACAACATACGAAAATGATAAAGTTCCCTTATCGAGAAGCAATTGGTTCACTAATGTATTTAGCAGTTGTGACGAGACCTGATATAACATTTGCTGTTTCGTTTTTAAGTCGTTTTCAAGATTCATATGGTGATGAACATGTAACATCAGTTAAACGTATTTTCAAATACCTAAGTGGAACAATCAATGACGGCATTTTTTTTGAAAATAACAGCGACATTAATCTCAAGTGCTACACCGATTCTGATTATGCTGGAGATCGCGAGAATAGACATTCAACAAGTGGATATGTTGTAACATTTGCAGGAGGTCCAATTTCATGGTTTTCTCGCAAGCAGTCGATAGTAGCTCTCTCAACTACAGAAGCAGAATATGTTGCCGCTTGCGAAGGTGTCAAGGAATTAAAATGGTTACAAAGGCTTTTGGATGAACTTAGCACGAGTGATGAAATTTCTATGCCGAAAATGTATTTAGATAACCAAAGCGCCATGAAGCTTATAAAGAATCCACAGTTTCATAAGAGGACCAAGCATATCGAAGTTAAATATCATTATATACGAGAAGTCTATGAAAGTAAATTTTTTGAATTGTTATATGTGCCTACAACAGAACAATTAGCAGATATTTTTACAAAGCCATTAAAAAAACAGCGATTCAGTGATATCAAGAACAATTTGAACATCAAGAAAAGGACAAAATAAATAAAAGTGGAAGTGTTGGAGTAATTTATTTATATTGTTCACTGTATTTATAATACCGTGTTACATTGAATGCAAAACATGTCAAGTAGGCTTTGTAAAATATTATTCATGTATACATATTTTTGTCAATAAAATATTATTTTTATTATTAAAAAAACTTCCAACTGCAAACAAGGTCTTCAAATTTTCTTAACACCTATACGAAGACCTGGACCTGCATAGACAATTTTCCGTCACAGACTGTAGTTCCCATTACGAACTCTAAATAAGTAATTTGAAACACTAAAATCATCAAAATACCGAATATTGGGAGGTACCATTATATTGGGCTATACGAAGACGTGGACCTGCACAGACAATTTTCTGTCTTAGGCTGTAGTATCCATTACGAACTTCAAATACCAAATTTTAAACAATTCCAGTTAATAATGTCGCTAAAATCATGAAAATACCGAATATCGGGAGGTACCGGTTTATGGGGGCTATACGAAGACGTGGACCTGCACAGACAATTTTCTGTCTTAGACAACTCCGGTGAATAATGTCGCTAAAATCATCAAAATACCGAATATTGGGAGGTACCTTTATCTGGGGGGCTATATGAAAACGTGGACCTACATGGCCCATTTACGAACTTAACCTGCTTACTGGAAAAATAAACATGTGTACAAAATTTTAGCCTTCTTTTTCTATTCGTTCGAAAGATAGCGTGATTACAACAGACGATGTTGAGTCTGACATGAGTATTTCGAGGAGTTACAAACGGAATGACAAAGTTAATATACCCTCCATAGTATGGTGGAGGGTTTAAAAGCACATACTGCAAAAATGTTAATATAGATTCACGTAATGTCTATTTTAAGTGTTTTAAATGATTTTACAGCAATATGGTTTAAATTTGATAGTTAAAAAATTACAGAATATAGCACATCTATCAAAAACAAGTTGTCATTGGTTTATAATAGCCCCCATGTAGCAGCTCGCCTCAATTATTAGCATTTTAAAGCTTAGGAACATCCTCAATCAAATGAGCTGTTATTTGGAATTTTGAATTCGTTTTTAAGAATTTTGAATTTTTGCTTTGTTTTTGGAACTTTTCACAGGCTTTTATTTTAATCCATGGATGATTGATTTTAAAAATGGTAGAAAATGGTCCTCGTTTAGGCCTAGCACTTATATAATGTTATCTAATAACATTTAAGGTTTTCATTATAGTGAAATCTTTTCCGGAAATAATCATTTAATAGTGGTTACCAATGGCTCATAGCTTCATATAAACTGCGAATCAAATTCATAGAAGCATAGACTAATAAAAATATTTGTCGTCATACATGGGACAGTTTTTATATTCCGATGCACTATTTACAGATCATAAATCACTTACAGTGGTTAACATTTTTAACATTTTAGGTTCGAGTGACTTCAATATTTTCCCTCATACCCCTGAAACGACACAGACGGCATCTGCTGAATCGATTTTTTCGATGATAATAAACGTAGCATAATTGAAAAATTACAAAAAATTATTTTACCAACTTTTGTGTTATACATGGTAGATGAATATAGGTAGACGCATCGACACAGCTGCTGGGACAATGAACTGTCCAATCAATTTGGGAATTGAAAATGTTGAATAAAGAGATATTTAAATTTGTAAAAAAAAAATAAAAAACGCGAATAATAATAACCTCCGAATGGCGTTGTATAAGAAAACATATAAAAATCTACTTATATATGAAAAAAAAAAACAGTTAATATTTTTGACATATCCATGGTCCCAAGTTTTGACGCATCTATCTGTATTCTTCTACCATGGTGTTATCGAACAATATTCAGTAATTAAAAATCCCGGGTTGTAGTTTTAGTCTTTAAAGGTGAGAATACATAAAGGTTTTTTTAAGGCTTAAGGTGAGAATATATAAAACAATTTTTTTTGGCTGGCTTAGGTTAGGTTAGGTTAAAGGACGCGCAGCTGCATTTAGCAACTGCTCCACTCGGAGACCTATAGGTCCATTGTGTTCATCCTAGGAAAGAGTTAGAGCGAAAGATAGAGAAAGTATAAGAATTGACAGTAGGAAATAGATAGTACGTAGTCTACGGCTGAGTTTGCCGTGTCGTCTTTAGCCACTTGAACCTTCTGGCTAATTGAAGGATCACTGCAGGGTCCGTGGTAGAAAAAGAGGACAAATCACGTGACACTAGTTCTCCCACTAGTTTATGTCTCACGTTAATGAGCGCTGGGCAGTGGCAGAGCAAGTGTTCGATTGTCTCAATTTCTTCTTCATCTTGACAGATCCTGCAGTAATCAATATCATCGCTGTCCCATTTTGAGGTCATAGCCCTCACCTTACAGTGACCTGTGATGATGCCCACCACAAGTTTTAAATCTGGTTTAGACAATGACATCAGCGATCTTGTTCTCTTCTCTGAGAGCACAGGCCAGATTATTTTGGAGATGGTACATCCCGTTTCGTCCAGCCATTTTTGTTGTGTCTTTTCCTGGTAGTGTTTGCGAACGATCTGTAGGAAGTGGCACAGTGGTGGTTTGACCGAATTATCTATTTCTATTGTAGTTGATTCGGATCCTAGCCTGGCCAATTCATCTGCAGTTTCGTTACCTGTGATATTGTAATGGCCGGGAACCCAACAAAGCTTGATTGACAACCTAGAGTGTTCCAAGGCTTCCCTGCAGCTTAAAACAGCCCTAGACTTGATAGTAAAGGAATTTAGTGCTTTCAGTGCCGCCTGACTATCGACATATATAGTCACCGGACTTCCGACCTCTATGTTCCTCGTGACTAGCAGGTCTATGGCCTTTTTGACCGCCAGGATTTCTGCCTGAAAAACGCTACAGTTGTTTCTGAGCTTGTAGGATTCACGGATATTAAGGGTGTCACAGAAGACACCTGCTCCCGTACCGCATTCCATCTTTGAGCCGTCGGTATATACAGATATGCCGCGGAAAGGTGGGCTGTTTTGGGACCAGGCTTCTCTGTCAGGTATGTGTATTTCAGGTGGGCAGAAGCTTAATCGTGGTGAAATATAATCACTTGCATAGGCTATCTCTCCCACAGTCCTTACACGCCTTAGAATCGTAGAGTGACCAAATGGTTGACTACGCCATTCACCTAATTCCCTGAGCCGAAGAGCACACCTGAATGCCAGTTCCTCTACATGTATGGCCAGCGGGCTTAAACCCAGTAGAGTATCTAGCGCAGCTTGAGGCGTGCTCCTAAAGGCACCCGTTATTAGTAAGGATGCGGCTCTTTGGACTTTGTTAATGTTGCGTGAGTAAGTTGGCTTCTTTAGAGAATGCCACCATACTAGAGATCCATAGGTTAGAATGGGGCGAACGATTGACTCATACAACCATTTAATGATGTAAGGTTTGAGGCCCCAGCTTTTACCTATGGAGTTCTTGCAAGAATAGAGTGCGATAAAACCTCTTTTGGCTCGTTCCTCAATATTCCTCTTCCAACTTAATTGTCGGTCAAGGATTGTACCAAGGTATTTGGCCTCTGGTGAGAGGTTTAGAGTGACTCCATCTAGTCTTGGTAGTGTAAATAACGGATATTTACGCTTCTTAGTGAAAAGTACGAGCTCTGTCTTTGCTGGGTTCACGCCTAGCCCGTTTTGACGCGCCCACCGTGATAAAGTGACTAGAGCTCCTTGCATTAGGTCCGAGATTGTTTGCGGGAATTTCCCGGCAATTAGTAGGACGACATCATCAGCGTATGCGACTACTTTCGTCCCTGTTACCTCTAGATCTATAAGTTAATAACCAAAAGCCAGAGTAACGGTGATAGGACGCCCCCTTGTGGCGTGCCCCTAGTGACCGATTTCCTGACAGATGTTTCCCCAATGCTCGAGTTGATGATTCTGCTGCTAAGCATGTTATCAACCCAGTCTATGAGGAGTTGTGGCAAATTAAGTTTTGATAGTGACTCATGAATGGATTCCAACGTGACGTTGTTGAAAGCTCCCTCAATGTCGAGGAAGGCAGCCAATGTGAATAAGGAGCCATTCATGTTCTTCTCTATGTACCCTACGACATCATGTTGCGCTGTCTCAACAGATTTGCCTTTCATATAGGCATGTTGAGCAGTGCTGATGGCGGTTTGGGGTATTAGAGATCTGATCTCTGTGTCTATCAGCCTTTCCAAGGTTTTCAATAGGAAGGATGAGAGACTTATCGGTCTATAGTCCTTGGGAAGTGAGAGACTCGGTTTCCCCGCTTTGGGGATGTAAGTGACTGTGACTTCCCTCCATGATTCCGGGATGTAGGATAGACGCAGACAAGCTTTGAAAATCTCACTCAGTACTGGTGATATTACCGCTGAGACACTTTGGAGCATAGCAGGAATAACACCATCTGGTCCTGGAGATTTAAAAGGTTTGAATGTATCTATGGCCCACTTGATTTTGGGTAAACTTACTATTCTGTCAGCCAAGTCTTGGTCCCTAGTTGTATGATCATGATGTACTTGATCGGTTTGCCGATTGCTTGTCGCGTCAATACAGCCGGGGAAATGCGTGTTGGCTAGCAGGTTAAGAGTCTCTAGTCCAGAGTCAGTCCATGTGCCGTCAGTCCGTTTTATACTTCCGATGGATTTAGGGTCCTTCGAAAGGACTTTACGAAATCTGGAGGCTTCGTTGACACTTTCAATCGACTCAGTAAAGCATACCCAAGATGAGCGCTTGGCCTTCTTGATCTCACTGTTGTACTTGTTGAAGGATGCTTTGTAGGCATCCCAGTCCGTACTATGTTTGGTCTTGTTGGCCCTATTGTACAGTCGTCTACTATCCCTCCTTAAATTGGCTAAATGTTTTGACCACCAAACAGGTTGACATTTCTTTCCCGGGTGGGTTAGTGGACAGACTTTTTCATAACACCCAATTAAGGCACTAGTTATCGCATTTACGGAGTTGTCTATATCGAGGGTAGAGATTAAGACCATGTTGTCGAAACGGTGAAGCCAGGGTATAGCCAGCTCCGTAAATTTGTCCCAATTTGCCTTTCTTGGGTTTCTATGAGGTTTTTGATGAATACCCTCCATCAGTATTTTGAAATTTATCTTTCGATGGTCTGAGAATGAGCATTCGAGAGAAACTTTCCAATCTAGTATGAGAGATTCATCCTTGTTAGTAAGGGTGAGATCAATGACCTCAGCCCTGTCTTTGACTAGAAATGTTGCATCGTTGCCCCTATTACATATTTTAAGGTTATATTTCAAAATAAAATCAAAAATCGACTCACCTCTGACGTTAGTATTCGTACTGCCCCATTGGAAGTGGTGTGCGTTGGCATCACAACCTATAATTATGTGCCCGTTGTTGACCAGATCGTCGAGCAGCTCCTCTACCTCGTGGCCGGGTGGGTCAGGTCGCTCATACGGTAGGTAGAGAGAAATGAAAAAGAGAACCCTCCCGGATTTGCATTCCATTCTCGCTACCGTGACGTCTCCTCCACTGTAGTTGCTAAGGAAGATAAGATTTAAATTCTTTTTGGCAACAATACACGTCCTTACCTTATCACCATTGGAGACCGCGTAAGTGACATACTGCCCACTCCCTAACCCAGTTACCCTATTATTGTATGTATAGGGTTCCTGGATTAGGGCTATGTCAACTTCAGATCTCGTGAGGGATAGGAGGAGTTCAGCAGCAGCTGCTTTGCAGTGATGCAGATTAATCTGCATGATATTGAGTAGCTGCTGCTTCCTTCCTCCTAATGCGTTAGCCGGAAGCGGATCCACCCGGCGCCGAAGTGCAATTTTCCCCCACGAGCTTGAAGATACTCCTGGCCATCCTTATCCATGGATACTTTGATGACCAGGCCCCCTCCCTCAGTGGTAGAACTGACAAGACGCCAGCTGTCTGTCTTGAGGTTGGGGTTTTGCTTGCCTAGTATTGTCAGATGCGATGCTTGCTATCGGTGGTGGACTTGCTGACCTCTGCAGGGTTCTCAACAGTGGGTTGAACTATGGAAGAGTTTGCCCTACTGTTGATGTTAGGTGGTGGGAGAGTTAGGAGTATCTGATTAAGAGAACAACTTGGTAAGTGCGGGTGGTTCTTCTCAAACTTAGCAATTACCTTGAGGTTCATCTTGATCAGAATCCTCTCTCTCTCCGTTATGTGCGCGGGATCTCGGCCAATAAATTTTTTGCAATAATTTATTGACCTTTTATAACCCCGCCTTGCTTTCGCCTCCTTCGGTTCGACACCATCGTGAAAGGTAGGGTTACTGGTAGATTTCCTGCCAGTACCTACAAGGATGGTATCTTGCCGATCGAGGCTTTTAGCATCGGAGGTTACCGACGATGAACCCTCCTGGATTAGGGACTCCACGCAAGTCTCGTTAGGAGTGTTCTTAGCGGTCTTTTGTGATGACTCACCACTTTGAGACGAGGAAATGACCGTTATGTCAAGTTCCTCATCAGAGAGTGGTGAGTCGTTACTAAAGCCCGAAGGAACACTTTCCTGGCTGAGTCTTAACGTTTTCGTCTTTTCCAGGAGGGCAGACAACTGTTCATTTTGTTGCTGAATACTGTCGTGGATTACGTCACTGTAATTCAGTATTGAGTCGTCCCCTCCCGAGTTGGTATTCATGTCCTGTGGCCGGTCCTTGGTCGTTGCTTCCTTGGAAGCAATGGTGTCGTTGGTGGTTGTTGGGGGTTTGTTTTGTTTTTTTATTGTTTTTTTATCTTTCTCCATATGAAAAGTCGGACTTGGAGGAAACGAGGTCCACCATGGCATAGCCTCCCTACCATGGCAAGGACTTGGCAACTAAGCCTGTTACTCACTGAGGCGCCCAGGTATCAGTGAGGCAACCGTACGAATACAGTCGGAACCCTGACTGCAAACCTAGGAACACTGATGGGCACGGTTTACATAACACCCCAGCGTTAGGGGGTCTTATTTATCGGTAGACCAACACCGATCACTGGGTATTTTGAGGCGCCAGTTGTTCGCCTCGTCGTAACCAGGGATCATGGGCACTCGGATATTTGTTCCGAGACTCTCCCCCCGGAGACCGCTGAGTTGTCCGCGACTGCTTATTTATTCGCAGCTGCCCAATATATCTATTGGGCGTCCCACTATCCGCAACCTGTGGACGCGTCCGGTAGCATCCAGCTATGCTTCCGATGATCGGCCGGCTGGCTTAAGTCATCGGCTGGCTTCTTCGTAGAGGAACAAAGGAGTTTTAGGTTTACCTCACAATCCTTTGTTCTTTTTCGAAGAAGCCAGCCGATGACTTAAGCCAGGCCAAAAAGCGTTTTATGTGTTCTCACCTTTAAGTGATCAGCTGGCATCTTGTTTGATCATAATAAAATCAATCGGCTAAAATCGCTATAGATCGGTGGATCTGGGTGGTACTGTTATATGGGATCTATCCCAAAATATGCACATTCGTTGACATTTTTCTGTAAGATGGTTCTCTACCCCCATAGAGCTGCCTTAAAAACACATTTTAGCCAAATTGATTGGAAAATGATGTAAAAAATGTGGCCTCGAAATAGGTAAAATCAGGAGGTAACTTTGTAAGGGCGTTAATCCGAAATATTGACCTACGTTGACAATTTTCTACGAAGAGGTTTTCTACCCTCTTAGTAGCCGTGATGCCAAATAAGAGCCAAATGTGGCCAAGACCGCGGATACTAAGACGTTTAGAAAGGATGTTTTCTTTTTTCTGAAAGCTCAAATAGCTAAAATTTGCCGAAATGAGTTTGTAAAATATCGATAAAATATAATAAATACCATGGTAAAATAATACAGGCAACAGCAAGTGTTGTTGTACAACAAATGTAAAACCATATACAAATTGGTTTTTGTACGTAATATAAGTGTTAGTGTTATATGTTCAAAAATGTAAACAAAACAATTAATTTTCAATAAATTATTTCAATTTCATATACATTTTTGGAATTTGGATTTTTAAATTTGAGACGCAAAAGGGTAGTTCTTAATTTATATCAAATTGTAATGCTTGCCTATCATTCCCCTGAATGTATAGTTTTTGGCAGTAGGACCAAATCTCTCAACACTTCAAGCAATCGCTACAAAATCGTGGAAAAGCCACATCCCTTTCAAATTGAAACCAAACTGCATATATATGTACATAAAGTACTCTACATTTTACAATTTTAGGTAACATGAATATATGACTATATTACCTAGTGTGGTGTAGCTGTTCCTTAACCGCGAAAAAAGTTTCCGCAACAGCGTTTTTATATTATTAGCAATATAAACAATTAAAAAATCTGTAAGTTCGGTCGGGCCGAACTTTGAATACCCTCCACCATTTGGAACGAATTTGGAAATTCTCATAAGCAATAAAATCAGTTAAAAATTCTGTTAATCTCTTAAAAATACCGAATATATCTGTTACATGAGGGTCTATACGACGGCATGAACCTGCGTAAGTAACATTTGTCATAAGCCATTACAATATTCAAATGCGAAACTTAAAAAAATCGGTGAATAATGTAGCTAAAATCAAAATACCGAATATTGGGAGGTACCGTTATATGGTCGCTATACGAAGACGTGGGCCTGCACAAACCATTTTCTGTCATAGGCTGTAGTATACACTACGAACATCAAATACCAAATCTGAGAGAATTCTGGTTAATAATGTCGCTACTATCAACAAAGTACCGAATATCGGAAGGTACATTTATATGGGGGCTATACGAAGACGTGGACCTGCACAGACAATTTTCTGTGATAAGCTGTAGTATCCATTGCGAACTTCAAATAACAAATTTGAATCAATTCCGGTGAATAACTTCCCTAAAATCATCAAAATACCGAATATTCGGGGGTGCCGTTATATGGGGACTATACGAAGACGTGGACCTGCACAGACAATTTTCTGTCATAGGCTGTAGTATTCATTTCAAACTTCAAATACCAAATTTTAAAAAATTGAGATGAATAATGTCGCTAAAATCAACAAAGAACCGAAAATACGGAGGTACCGTTATATGGGGGCTATAGCAAAACGTGGAACTACATGGTCCCTTTTGAATACAGAAAGCCCTGCAGACATAATATACATTTGAGTAAAATTTTATCAATCTACTTCAATTCGTTCGGAAGCTAGAGTGATTTCCACAGACGGACAGACGGATAGATGGACGGACATCGCTAAATCGACATAGAATTTTATGCTGATCAAGAATATATACTTTTGGGATCTAAAATGTATATTTCGAGGTGTTACAAACGGAATGACAAACTTAATATACCCTCCATATTACGGTGGAGGGTATAAAAAGTGTATAATTTTTTAATGTCCAAAAAGCGAATTATATCACAAAACGTCATAACGAATTTGACACTAGTATTAGTCAACTCAGCTGGGGTTTCCTGCTACCTGTAATAATTATAGCAATAACAAATACTTGAAAGCGGGGTATACCCTTATATGGGGGCTATACCAAAACGAAGACCCATATTAATTCTACGTGTAACCCATAGGAATGTAACAAATTTAAAACACTATCTTAAATCTTGCGAAGCATAGAGCAAAATATTTGAGGCCCTTTGTGCATGGTTAAGGACATATGTAAAGGGCCCTAAGAAAAATTGGCCTGGGAATACAAACCCCTTTGAGATTTTGATTTACTAACTGAATACCATCTACGTGGAATTTTCCAACCCCCGGATTGGCTGTTCCATAATATAAATACTCGCTATTGCGATAGTCCCCCGTATAATCTTACATGCGATTTAAGTATCTTGATTGTTTTGCAAGAATTTTCGGAGGATAAATATCCTTTTCTTACTAAATTTTCAATCTGCTGTACCATTTTGTAAAGTCCTCATATTGCAGTGCTTCTTTACATTCTTTGTTGCACTGTTCAATAAATTTCGCATTTTGAGTTCTCATTGGACGGTTTATTGTCATATGAAAGAAGTAGGTTCACGGTTTGATATTAGCTCCTAACAACTGTGTTGGCCATTTTTGTTCGTTTGAATGTGTAGGCATCTTTCATAAAAAACAAATAAAAAGGCATTATGTTTGACCGGGGCGAATTTCTAATGCCATTAACAATTAGGTAAAGAAAGCATTTTAATACAAAAGAATCTGGATTCAAACGTGTTTCCAGTAAAATCGGTAGGACAATGCGATTAGAGTTTTCAAAAAACAATATAGTGGCTGGAGCCATTATATGGGGGCCATAATAATTTTTAAAACAAAGATTGTAATCTATTGCGAGTCTTAAATACCAAATTTGACATACTTTCATGGGTAAATGTATCTAGGATTGTCAAAATACCTAATATCGGTCTATATATCAAATGCCGAACCGTTGTATGGAAACCGGAGACCAATATGGACAATGTTTTGACACCGGATGTGAAACCCATTATGAAGTACAAATACCAAGTTTCACACAAATCTATTAGAAAATGAGGCTTAAATCGTAAAAATAAGGTATGGTAAGGTAAAAGAAGGTACCGTTATATGCGCCTAGATATTCAATGTTCTGCCAACGGATCTAAAACACATTACGAATTACAAATACCAATTTTTAGACAAATCCGTGGAAAATATGGCCAACATATTAAAAATACTGAATATCGGGAGGTACCCTTATACGGGAACTATAGGAAAACTTTGACATATATGTACAATGCTCCTCCATCGGAGCTAGACCCCATTTTTTAGACAGATCCGTGGTAAAAATAATCAAAATACTGGATATCGGGAGGTACCCTTATATGGGGATTATAACCAAACTTAGACCTATATATACAATGTTCCGCCACCAGTGCTAGCTACGAACTACAAATCAATCCCACGGCAGCGGGTTCTACGACACCGGATTGACCTGAAACAACAACACTCCAGTTTCGGCCAGCGGCTGCCAACCCAGTGTATACATGTTCGTGTTTGTTTATTTTTCTCTATTGGGAGCAGCACATCCCGGAATGCTTGCTCCGGATTCTTTTGGTCCGTGCCGGGCTTGAGGAAAACCCCGGACCATGGTTCTGTACGGTTTGCCAAAACACCATCCACCATAGATCAGTCTCGGCGCGATGTAATGGATGCAGAGGATGGGTGCATTTTAGGAATTGTTCCGGTTTAACCCGGTTGCGAGACTATAGCGATATAGACTATGTTGCTTCGTGCTGTACCAACGTAATCCCCAGTGAGTCCACGACTTCGTCGTCAACTTCCGAGTCGTCGTCGGAGTATGGAACTCCCACGCAGTCTCCAGAAGAGCAACCTTTACCGCAGCACCTAACGCCACATGTTGCTGTTCCAATTCCGGACAATGCATCATTCTTGCAGTTCAATTGCAACGGACTCCGATGTAAAATTGATGAGATAGTGGATTTTATGAATCGGAGGAATATAAATATCGCAGCGGTGCAGGAAACCAAGCTCAACGAAAATTGTAGCTTACAACGTTGCAATGATTACAACGTATTGGAGAAAGATCGCACCAGAAGTGGGGGATTAGCGTTCCTGTTACACCATTCTGTTCATTACAGACCTATCTCGCTTGAGCTAGTCTCTAGTGACCCGTACATGGAGTGTATGGGGGTAGCAGTCAAGTGGGGTACTGCCGAGGTAGAGGTGCTTAATGTGTATATCCCGCCGGTTAATAGCTGTGAACCGCGTTACTTGCCTAATATAAGCCCACATTTGGAAGGCAATAACCGCCTGGTACTAGGGGACTTCAATGCCCACCATGAGTTGTGGCATTCCGTCCTAGGTAATAACCAGAGGGGATCAGCGTTGGCAGATCAGATTGACCCGATTTCATAAACCCTGAACGCCGCACTTTCCTTAAGCATGGGAAAGCCCACTGGCCCGAGTTCAGAGAGTTCACCAACCTTCGCTTCAGAGAACTGCCCAATCCATCAAAGCTGCAGCCATTCGCTATATACCTGCTGGTCGAATACCCGAAGAAAAACCAAATTTCCCAGCAGAGGCAGCGGGATTAGCGAATGAGCATGATGAGCTCCGACGTACCAACCCTACTGATCCCAGAGTCAGTGAACTGACAGTGGAAGTCAACCGGTTGGTACAGTAGCATAAGGGGAAAAAGTGGCTAGACCATCTGAAGTGTTGCAACATTGGAACCGATTTGAGTAAACTGTGGGTATCGGTAAAGTCACTCTCGAACCCTGTAAAAAAGGATGATAGGACAGCAGTCACATTTAACGACGTAACTGTGACTGATCCGAAGAGGTGCGTTGGTTGTTTTAACCGCCAATTTGTCGGGCAGCCCGAGAGTGATAGGGCGAGGTGAAGAGTACTATGTCGTATAAGAGCTCTTCCCGCCGAGGATGTACCTCCACGATGGGTGATGTTGCGAATGTCATCCGAAACGCTAAGTCATCTAAAGCGTTGGGCCCTGACGGAATATCAATTGTAATGTTGAAGCAACTGGATACGCCGTTGAGTATTTAAACAAAGTCCTTAACTTGTCGTTAGCCACCCACATAGTTCCCGAAGCCTGGAAAATGGGCAGGGTGGTCCCGCTACTGAAGCCTGGCAAGAATGCCAGCAAAGGCGAATCATACAGGCCAATTTCGCTTTTGTCGCCAGTAGCAAAGACTCTCGAGGCCTTACTCCTCCCCAGTATAAGAGGAAGCTATTCAGTTGCTAACCATCAACACGGTTTCCGTGTTCCATATCCACACATATCAGTCGAGGACTCAATCAGAACAGGCCGTGACACAGAACAGTAGTGGTGGCTCTCGACCTATCAAAGGCCTTTGATACGGTCAACCATGCCACGCTGTTCGAGGACGTTGAGAACACTACCCTCCGGCCAAGTTTGAAACGTTGGATAGTCAACTATATTTGTGGACGCCAGTCGTACGTGGAATTCCGGAATAAGAAGTCCAAGCCTCCGGAACTGTTTAACCTCTCCGGAACTGTTTAACCTCTACCTTTCTGGAAATCCGCGCCCTCCAGACGGCATCGAGATTGTAACTTATGCGGACGATTGTACGATCATGGCGTCGGATCCTGTAGTTGATGACATATGTGTCAGGGTGAATAACTATTTCGCGGAGCTTGCCGCCTTCTTCCATGCGAGGAATATGAAAATATCCGCCACTAAATCGACGGCCACACTATTTACCACATGGACTGCGGAGATGAGAACACAGCTGAATGTGCAGGTCGAGGGGCATATAATTCCGACCACCAACTGCCCCAAAATCCTTGGGGTCACATTCGATAGCATGTTCAAGTCTTCCGCGCAAGCCACAGCTATTTGCGATAAAATGAAAAGTAGGAACAAAGTCTCAAGGCGCTAGCCGGCAGCACTTGGGGTGCGGATAAGGAAACCTTGTTGACCTCTTATAAAGCGATAGGTCGGTCTGTGGTTAGCTATGCGGCTCCAGTGTGGTCGGCGAATACAAGTGCAACGCAGTGGAAAAGTATTTAGACTGCAACAGGGTGTCTCCTCATGACTCCTGTGGACCATTTACATGAGGAGACGAAGGTTCTTCCCTTACGTCAGCATAATCATATGCTTTCGTTGCAGTACCTGCTTGGGTGTTATCGTGGGAGTCACCCTAACCACCATATGGTGGATAGAACTCCCCCACCCAGGCGTGTCAGGAAGGACCTGCACGATCTAGAGAGAGAGGTCCAGCGATATAAGAGAGAGACCCTAGATCATGAAGCCTATCAAGCGGGTCTGAATAGCATTCATTCTGATGTAGTCGCAGAGGTAGTTAATAATTACAGTATGAATGCCATACTCGGAGTCCACCCCCCATCCATTGCAGCTGAAGAACGTCGGCTGCCTAGGCAAACCAGGGTAGTTTTGGCCCAACTACGTTCAGGATGGTGTCTCAATTCGTATTGGGCACGAATTGATGAGGATGTGCGGAACGCCTGCCCAGCGTGCGATACAGGCCCGCACAACACGCTGCACTTGTTTAATTGTCCAGCCAAACCTACCCAACTCCGTCCAGAGGATCTATGGCTACAGCCCATAAAGGTAGCAGAATTCCTAAACCTGGACATTGAGGAAGAATCGGATTAGTCGGAAAAAAAAACAACGGAAAATGTAAAACTGCTACAACAACAACAACGAACTGTAAATAACAATTTTTAGATAAATTGGTGGAAAAATTATGCTTAAACCATCAAAATACTGAATATCGGGAGGTACCGTTATATAGGTAATATACGAGAACGTGGGCCTAAGTAACCAATGTTCTGTTGCCGAAGCTGAAACTCATTACAAACAACAAATATCATTTTTTAAATAAACCCGTGAAAATATGTAGCATAAATCATGAAAATTACGAATACGAAAATGTGGACCTATATTTACAATGTTCCGCCACTAGCACCCATAACAAACTACAAATACCAATTTTTAGACCAATTGGTGAAAAACCATCAAAATATCGAATATCGGGAGCTACCGTTATGTGGGGGCTATCCCAAAAAGTGGACCAATATATCTCATTTCCAAAACCAACAATCCTAGACACAATACCAAATATTCTGCCAAATTTAAAGCTCTACGTCAAATAATGTGGTCTGTATCGTGAACAACCAAGTAGGAGTCCCCTCCAATATTTTTTGGCGTATTTTTATGGGCGTTTTTTGGATGTTAACCTTTTCTACCAAGACACCATTCCGGAATGGTGTGAATTATCAAATTCAGGCCAGCCGTTTTTTAGTTATAAAATTGTAGAGGATGTTGTTTAATTGCTTAAAATTTCGGTAAAGAAAGAGAATTCTTGATAGTAAAAAAAGTCCAGTAAGAGTTTGGGAATTTTTCAAGATGGAAAATATTTTTTTATACATGTACCACTGTATTTGACATATACATGTGTAAAGTTAGTAACCACATCAAACGTGTATAATTCAAACAATGTGTATATATGCTTACACACTTTTATTATGCGGATATTTTTAATATTGTACAATTTTATTGAAACAAACCGCACTTAAATGAGAATTGGAAACATTTCGTAGCTATCAGTGCAGTTGTTTAGATCGCAGTTTATAAAGACAGAAATCTCTTTGCATTCTTTTTGGGCGATTATTTTTAGAGCATTCCAATGAAAATATGGCTTGCTTTAAATGCACAGAAAGTGAAATTGAAAGGCTAGAAAGAGTAGAAAGTGAAAAAGTGGAAAGAAAGTTAAAAGAGTTTGAAAAGGAAGAAAGCAATCAAATAAAGTTGTTGCTCCTAGGTATTGGTGCATCCGGAAAGTCGACATTTATACGTCAAATGCAGATTATGTATTATAAAGGATTTCGCGACGATGAAAGGCAATCATACATCGAAATAATATTCCATAATGTACTTACGTCATTAAAAGCCCTGGTGACGGCAATGGACACACTAAATATTCAATATGGAAACGATAGGAATGCAACTAATTCGAAACTCATTATGGACCTTGAAGAGGAAGAATTTCTGCAATTTCCGGACATGTTCGTAGCGTCAATAGAGGAATTGTGGGATGATGCTGGGGTACAACAGTGTTTTAGGAGACGTAATGAATATCAAATAACCGATTCAATCAAATACTACATACGGCATATCGAACGAATTTCTGGTCCAAACTACTTGCCAACAGACGATGACATTTTACATGTGCGGGCACCTACGCAGGGGCTGGTGGAGTACAAATTCGAAGAGAAAAACGCCGATTTTCGTATCATTGATGTTGGCGGACAACGTGGTCAGCGTTTGAAATGGTTAAGGGCCTTTGATGGGGTGAAGGTAGTTTTGTTTGTCGTTGCCATATCCGAATATGATCAGGTATTGGAAGAATCGGATGACAGAAATCGTTTAATCGAATCAAAACTTGTCTTTGATCAAATAGTCAATTGTGGCTATTTTTCAGACTCTTCTTTGATTGTGTTTTTCAATAAAATCGACTTGCTGGAGGAGAAGATAATGTATTCCGATTTGGCCCATACATTCCCCGAATTTACTGGAGAAAAACGCAATGCTGATGCGGCAAAGAAATTCATACGCGACATGTTTTTGAAACAGCAGAAAAAGCGAAATCTTTACCATCACTACACTTGTGCAACAGATACTGGAAATTTTAAAGTTGTCTTTAAAGTTGTACGTGAAACGATACTTCAACATTATTTAAGGGCCACCCATATTGATTAAAAAAGTGTGAAATAAAGCTTACAAATTATCTTCTCCAGTTTGCTAACAATTGATGGTTCTCTTTCATTGGGCATGCAAATAGATTTACACTTGTTGAAGGTTAGTTTTTTATAATCAACTTATTTGAAATTCTAATATGCCACAGAGTAATTTATCAAACAATAGTTACCTAAACAAAAAAAATTCTTATCAGTGTTGAAAAATAATTATTTCATTTTGCGGTTTGCTCTAAAGTTGAGAGTGAGAAACGAGATAATCAATTTTCAGAAATATATCACTGAACTGAATAAGAACTGAATCTGACCAACCATAAACAATGTTGTGTCTTTCCTGGAGTGCGCTTTGATGTCATCAAGTAGTGTACACCTATACAGTGTGAGATTAAAAATCTGCAACCCACTTACGACTGCTGTCATTTCTAAGCCACTCGTCCGGCAGCTGTTAAAATTATTCCAGTGACAGCTTATTATATTGTTTACAGGTGTGCAAAAGCATTTTGGTGAGAATTTTCCAGAAAAAAGATATTCGTGATGGAATTCAAGCGTGATAGTGTGATTTCTTTCTTTATAACAATAACAGTAACAAAAAATATTCACATTTATTTTGTCATAATATTACGCGATTTTCTTAGATTTTATCCTTTTCATTCCGAATTGATTAATATCGTGAAAATCAGTCCAGCGGTTCTTGACGTATAAGTACGATAACCAAGATGTATTTCTTTTCTTTCTAAGTTATACCTTATTTTGCCAATTGCAAACTCAGGAAATTTTTCTGTTTTTGATCCATTTCAACACCTCAATATTTTGCGAATATCTCCAAAACAATAGGCTTCCATTCTGACCCTATCCCCATCTCTATTTTTATTTTCGACAGGATCGGTTCATAATTGCGACCTGTAGCGTGATTACATATTAACATGGACAGACGAACTTACATAGCCAGATCGACTCAACTCGGCGAGATAGGAAGATCCATACATAGTTTCCTATGTCGGAGACCAATATTCCGAGGTTGTACATAATGTTTGGTCCAATCAAACTTATAATACACCACAACACATGAGTCGGAGGTACCTCCCAAAAATTTAGATTTTATATACACATATATATTGATAGATTACAGACACAGTCTCCAAATTTGGAATGCATAACGGAATTTGGAACAAAAATAAATTTACTACATGATATCAGTTCAGATTTGGATATAGCTCCTATATATATTTTCGGCCGATTTCATGCATTAAACACGCTGTATACGCCACATTTCAATGAAATTCGGAACGTGTGATGGAATTTTTATAAAAAATTGTTTGCCAAATTATATTGAAATCGGTTCAGATTTGGATATAGCTCCCATATATAGTTTCGGCAGATTTCATGTATTTGATGCATCAAATTCACCACGACATGTATGTTCTATTTTAAAGAGATTCCAATGAAATTTGGCATTAGTGACTAAATTTGGTACGAGAATAAGTTTGTCAAATTATATTCAAATCGTTTCAGATTTGGATATAGCTCCCATTTTTATTTTCGGCCAATTTTACAAATTTGATGCAACCAACGCGATATGTCCGATTCTCTCTCATGAAGTTAGAGTTTAGGATGGCGGGTGGAATGGACCACTACTTTTGTGTGAAAAAATATTAACATAACATACAGACCATATCCGAAATATACAAAATGCTAAGGGCAGTGCTCCGTGACATAATTCCAAAAGCAAAATCTTCCAAAATGGATTTGAACAGATAGGGGCTTCTAAGATATTGTGGTGTTGTAGGGTATCACATGGTTGGCCCCGCACGACTATAGCCTTTGCTTACTTGTTTCTATGTATGTTTATCGGATTTTTATTTAACGGTACCTACAGGTTGTCGGAAGTTAAATGATTTTCCCTCATTGTTTTAGAATGAAAAAATTGTTTGGAATTTTGTTCTTGAAACTCGCAATAGATACCAACAACTGACGCATTGGTAGGTCTACTGTATGGTGTGGCCTCCATATAGCCCATTTTCCATATAATGGTACCCGTACTTTATAATATTTTGAAGACTTTAACTTCATTCTGCAAACGATGTCGCCAACATTTGCAATTTAAAATGGAGCTCGTGTAAATATTGAATAACGGTACTATTATTTTTAACCGGGCTGCAGACCACTTATCGTTTCGGGTTGGTTCGGTTCAGTGATTCACACTATACTTTGAACCACAGGTTCGGTATTTGAAATGGGTTTTTAGGCGGCTCGAACCGTGGTTTTGTTTTGTTCATTACTATTGGCAAATATACAGGGTGGGACGAAAAAACTGCAACCAACAGGGCCAACAGGTGTTAAAATTATTCCAATGACAGCTCATTATATGGTTTACAAGCGTACAAAAGCATTTTGGTGAGAATTTTCCAGAAAAATAGTTATTCGTGATGGAATTCGTGATAGTGTGATTTCTTTATATTTGGGTGGAAAACCACAAGTGGCTATCGTTAGAATACTCCAGCATTTAAATATGAATAAATGTTTTGTGTCTCGTATCATCGCTCTTTACCGTGATACTGGTAGCGTAGCCCGACATCAGGGAAGTGGACGGAAGAAAACGACATCAGCACATTTGAAAAGTAAAGAAGCGACTTGATTAAAATCTGAACATATCTCAATGTTCCATTCTGCAAATATTGAAAAATGAGCTCGGGGTAAAGCCATTGAAATTCCAATAAGCCGCAACCGGAAGAAAATAGACTCAAAAGAGCTAAAGAAATGCTTTGCTTGGCCGAAAGTGGTGAACTGCCGAATTTGATTTTCTGCGATGGAAAAACATCCGTTGTCCAGCAGTTTGTAAACAAACAAAAGGATCGCGTGCACCTTCGGTTGGCCACCAGAACTCAAGTGCCGGCCTAGGTGATGATGTGGGCCGCCATAACAGCCGATGGTCGCACTCCGCTCGTATTAATCGAATAAATGACGAATATTATCGCGAAAATATTGTGAAGGGCGTATTAATGCTTTGGGTACGCAAATATTTTGGCCCAGACCTTGGACATTCCGACAGGACTCACCATCGCACTCAGCACGCGCCACCCAAGAATGGTTACAAAATGAGGTTCCTCGCTTCATTTCCAGTGCACAATGTCCACCAAAATCTCCGGATACCAATCCGTTGGACTATTGTGTCTGGAGTATTTTGGAAAGCAAGGTTGGCACTAAAAAAATACCAAAATGTCGATCACCTCAAGCAAGCGCTTCGCCGGGAATGAACCAACATACAGCAGAGCAACATTTGGGCAGCGTGCGACGGTTTTATTGGCCGTTTGAAGGTCATAATTCGTGCCAAAAAGGACCAATTCGAACAAATCTAAACTTATTTTTAAATTTTATGCTATTTCCAACATTTTTTGTTTTCATTCAATTGAATTCAAACAAGTAAAAAAGCTGTAAGTTCGGCCGGGCCAAACTTTGAATACTCTCCACCATTTGGTACAAATTTGGCAATTTTCAAAAATATAAATTCTGTTAAAAAATGTAGCCGTGTATTAGGATCTATACGACGACGTGGACCTGCATAGGCAAATTTTGTCATAAGCTATTACAATATTCAAATGCGAAACTTGAAAAATTTGTTTATAATGTAGCTAAAATCATCAAAATACCGAATATAGGGAGGTACCATGGGGGTTATAAAACGTAGACCTGTACAGACAATTTTCTGGCATATCCATTACGAACTTTAAATACAAAATTTGAAGTAATTCCGGTAAATAATGTCGCTAAAATCATCAAAATATCGAATATCGGGGGGTACCGTTATGTGGGGGCTATACGAAGACGTGGACCTACATGGCCAATTTTCTGTTTTGTGCTGTAGTATCTATACCAAATTTGAAACAATTCCGGTAAATAATGTCGCTAAAATCATCAAAATATCGAATATCGGGAGGTACCGTTATATGGGGGCTATACCAAGACGTGGACCTACATGACCCATTTTCTGTCTTGTGCTGTAGTATTTATTACGAATTCAAACACCGAATTTGAAACAATTCCGCTGAATAATGTCGCTAAAATCATCAAAGTACAGAATATACGGGCGTTATATGAAGATGTGGATATGCACAGACAATTTTCTGTCATAGGCTGTAGCATCCGTTACGAACATAAATACAAAAATTTAAACAATTCCGCTGAATAATGTATCTAAAAGCATCAAAATACAGAATATCGGGAGGTACCGTTATATGGGGACTATACGAAGATGTGGACCTGCACAGACAATTTTCTGTCATAGGCTGTAATATCCATTACGAACTTCAAATACCAAATTTGAAACATTTCCGGTGAATAATGTCGCTTAAATAACCAAAACACCGAAAAAACGCAGGTACTATTATATACCAAAACGTGGACCTACAACACCAATTTTCAATACCAAAAGTTCTGCAGACATAATAAACATTTGAGTAAAATGTTATCAACCTACTTTATTTCGTTCGGAAGCTAGAGTGATTTCCACAGACGGACGGACATCCCTAAATCGACATGGATTTTATGCTGATCAAGAATATATATACTTTGTGGGTCTAAAATGTATATTTCGAGGTGTGGCAAACTTAATATACCCTCCATGCTATGGTGGAGGGTGTAAAAAAATTAATCGTGATGTTGTTTACAAGCGTACAAAAGCATTTGGTGAAAATTTTCTAGAAAAATAGTTATTCGTGATGGAATTCAATCGTGATAATGTGATTTCTTTGTATTTGGCTGGAAAACCACAAGTGGCTATCGTTAGAGCACTTCAGCATTTAAATGTGAATAAATCTTTTGTGTCTCGTACCATCGCTCGTTACCGTGATACTGGTAGCGTAGCCCGACGTCAAGGAAGTGGACGGAAGAAAACAGTAACATCAGCAAAAATAGTTCGAAAAGTAAAGAAGCTACTTGATTAAAACCTACGTCGCAATGGCCGAAAAAGTTTTTTTTTATCTCACCCCGCATACATATCCAATTCCT